GCTAGGACTCACAAATATTCATTTGAAGGAAATAATTAGGTATTAAATCTCCTTGACAGGTTACATATCTCTGAAAATTGTTATTTTTTGTGCTTCACTGAGTTTCTCTGGGTAACATAATACTCACTGAACTGATACAAAGACTGTGTCAGTTGGAGTTTAACTAGAGAAGCATAATACTGTGAGTTATATAGGGAGTAAAGATAAACCCCCCCCCCCTTTTTTAAACTAACAATATCTTATGCAATGATGGCAAAGTGGGAAATACTTGTCCAGAGTGGAGTACTTCCAGGTCAGAGGAGAGGTCCTAACTGAGGCTCAAAGGCTAGACTTCTGAAGAGTACTTAGGGTATGTCAGTAGGGTGTGTGGTCCAGAAATAGTTCATGGGAGAGAATAAAGACACCATAGAAGCCATGATGAAAACTGGAACGTACTGGGACAAAGTGGCATGTGGACCTGCTCCTTGTTTTGGTATAGGAACTGCAGCATCCAGCAAAAGGACCCGGAATGCATGTGTGCAAAGCTCAGGATTCAGAGGACCTGGAGCAGAAGCTGTTAGAAGCCCGTAGTTGCTGCTTCCCAAAGTGATTCTTGGGAACACACACACACACACACACACACACACACACACACACACACACACAGTCTTCCTGGAGCTCTAAAAACACCATGCTAGTGAAACTGTGGCTATGCTTCTGCCCTGCAAATCTCAAGGGACTGTCCCACTGTCCCTGTGGCGAGCCCTAATCCAGAACCACTCACAGAAGTGTAGGTCTAGTTTACTGAATTCACACTGTACAAAACAGCTGCAAGGAGAGACTATAACAGCTATGGATGGGACACTGGAGATGGCATCCTTTAGTACTATACAGCTGGAAAATGGAGGCCCACAGAGGTATTGACCCATTCCCTGTCCCATGTCGAGGAGCAGACCTAGAAATTCAGAGGCATAGGTCTCTCTCCAGGTAATATCCAAGGGAAGAAGTCAGGATTTCAAATGAGTAGCCCTGTGGTTTTATCATTAATTAATTTTCTGATACTACAAAAAGGCTACTCAATTTCTGAACTCTTGTTTTCATAGACACGGAATGGTGTGTGGGCTGTGCCCTGCAAACTGAAGGCAACTCACTTCATAATGGACGAATAAATGAATAGTCTCTCAAGAGCCATCATTTTCTGAAATTGTCCAGTGGTTTTAAGAGAAATGAGTGGTACCATCCTGAGTTGTTAAAGGTTCTCTCCTAATTCATCCAGGATTAGGATAGAATACGCAGGACTTTCCTCCTTTGTACAAGTCAGATTTCCAGTCTCTCAGCACTGTAGCAATTAAACTTCCTGTATCCTTCTTCTCCCCTAAAGGTGGTTTCTACTTGTGTAATCCGTTCAATCTGAGCTTTTTGACAGATGTAGAGTACCAAAGAGCTGTAAAAGCAAGACTCAAAAAAAGTGGTGCCGGAAGAAGCCGGGAAGATGTCCAGTCTGTCGTTACATATTTCTATGTCTTTGCTCCTGAATTTGCAATGAGTGTCTAGCAGGAGTGCCTCTTCTCTGCTCCATGTGCATCAGCTGGTGGCTCAAATGCCTGGAGCTGAAATCATGGAAAGGCCACTCCCTTCCAGCTGGAGCTGTTGCCAAAATAGCTACATGTGGGTTTTCCAAATGCTCTTGCTACTTGTACAAGACATGAAGGTTGTGCATAAGAAGTATCCTCCCAAGAGTACTAGACAGAATCCACACTACCTCCTCTCACTCATAAACCACTTAACATCATTCCTTCATGGTCACAGGCCTCTCAGACTTAAGAGATGGAAGTTTAGATCCCACCCCTCAGTGAGGGCAGAACCATCGTCTTATACTATAAAAAGAACCATGGGATTGGATAAAGAATTATCAGTACTGGAATAATTTTAAAAATAGACTTTAATCAATTAAGTGGATCCCTATGCAATAGCACCCTGGAGAATTTATGTGCACAAGGGTATACAAATATGTAATCAGTATGTAGTGAATGAAGGTAATGCTTGGATTCAGTTTGCTGGCAAGCTGTTTTTAGCAGTGTTTGGCCCGCAAGTAAGAACAATTACCTAGAGCACTCAATTATTTTAAAATTAAGGTGCTCCAACTTCAGCATCCATCTTTTTTTCCTGGGGAAAATTAACTGGGCTGATGAATTTTAGACCCACACCATTCCCATGGTCATCAAGCCCATTGAGGCAGAAGCAGATTATGATCCCTTGTAATATTTGGACAATCTTGATATGAACTGGATGGGTTTGAAGTTAATAGCAGAAAATAGCATTGCTACTAAAAGAGCCCCCTTTTACACACTCATTCATACTCATGGACATGTTTGCACACACACTTAAGAGACATGAGCAATAAAAAAAAAATATTAGGAGATTTGTTCTCAAGTATAAATGTGAGAGGGCACAAGATTGTTCAACTCAGTCACATTAGATTTTCAGTAAATCAAAATTTCTTGATTTTGAACTCTGACCATAGGTAGGTGATTTGGAAGCAATATGACCATGTGAAGCGTAAAGGAAAAGCAGTCAACACTCATAGGTACAGAAGAATAATTATGGGCTCTAGAAGCTCCAAGTGGCTCAGCACAGCTAGAAACCTGCGTGTGCATAAGGGGACACAAGAGAATCTTATGAGCTTTAGAGTCTTTAATTGTGAAGTGTTCAAAACATGGAAAAAATAGAGAAAATAATTTATTTATGTACTTACTCCCACAGTTAATAGCTACCAGCTATGTGTCATATTGTCTCAAATCTCTTCACTTTCTAACAAATAAAGTATTAAAGATTCAAATCCCCTCCCTTCACAGAAATCAAGGCCATCTTAAAACCACATGTTAGTACACATAAAAGAGAAACAACGGACTGGGAATTGAGGTATTCTGAGCAGTAGCATTTCACAGGTTGGGCAGACTACCTGCACTGTTGGCCACCATTCAGAGAGCATAAGGATGCTTTTGTAGGGTGGACATGATGCAAGGCAAAAAGATGTTTGCTCCACAGTGGAGCAGCTGCCTTATCACATCATTCCACTTGAAGAACCAAGCTAGGTGGCAGGTGGCTGCTTCTGGTTATGTTGAATTCAAGTTTCTTTTTATTGCTTATCTTTGTTTTGCTTATAAAGGAACCCAGGGCCACTTAACCCAATGTCTGTGCACTTCATTATTTCAATAGTACTCATGGATGGATCCCTACATCATTGTATCTTTATGTTTTTAAAATGATGTAGAAATCTGCCCTTTGGCAACACATTTTTTGTCATTCAACGTGGATTTTGGCTTTGCCACTGGATATAAACATGTCATAAGGAGTATGGGCATCACAGACTTAATCACTCTCTCTTTTAACTAAAGTAGTTCACCTGAAAAATGATTTGATGGGGAACCTGTACTTTTTGTGTATGTAGGCAGTATTAATGACGTAGAGCTAGGACTGGACATCCTACTCAATATAGAAAACGGGGGAAAAAGAAATCTACTTATTTGAACCTTACCTTTCTATTTTTAAGGCTAGGTGCTTTTGTTTGTTTTGTCCTAGAGTCAATGAGGAAATTGGAGGGTAGCTTGTTCTCTAAGGAATGGAATTCCAGTGACTGGCCAGGAGGCTGCCCAGCCTTTTTGAAGTAGTGACTCACGAATAGACTAGGCAGTCAAGCCATTGGACTTGCTTAGCTCACATGATTTCACTGCTCCATGTGACCCACTACATCTCTCACACTAGAGCTTATTTGCTACTGAATGAAAGCTCTCTTGCAGAGTGGGAGGATCTGTATTCCACGTGGTGAGAGAGTAGAAGGGTTAGGTGGGTGATACCCATTTAGGTTCTTTCTAGTCCTGCTTCGTGCCCATCCCACATCTATCCCCCACTCCCACAAGAATCGCTTTGGTGGTTTTATTCAATTGTCAGTTGTACTTTGATAGAGTGTTTTTTTTTTTTTAAGATTTATTTATTTATTATGTATACAGCATGTATGACCAGAAGAGGGCACCAGACCTTATTACAGGTGGTTGTGAGCCACCATGTGGTTGCTGGAAATTGAACTCAGGACCTCTGGAAGAGCAGTCAGTACTCTTAACCTCTAAGCCATTTCTCCAGCCCCAATAGAGTGTTTTTAAACTTTATTTCTTATTGTTGAAGAAAGGAAATAAAGGAGTATTTATGTTCCAGACACAAAATGGAGTTTCTGAGTTAATATGAGATATAGGTGAGCTACTGTATTTAGCCCATTTCTTCTCTCTTATTGACACATTATTCTTGAATATTTCAAAGAAATCCTGTATGTGCTGACACTCTCTCAAAGTAGAAAAAAAGGGAGACTGTGCACACATTTTACTTCTGAGGTGACACTTACCTAACAATATCTACCAAATTAAGTGTTCATTGACCTTGCATTACTGTCAACTAGCATTTTATTTCTGCTGCTTTTTTGAGTATGTTAGGCTAAAAACAAGTGACTTCGCGTAAATTATACTCATGGAAGCTTTTTAGTCCACATTCAAAGATTATGGGTTTGATGACTCTATTTGTCTAACAAGATCAGGACAAAGAGCTCTTTGGTTACCAGCGTACTTTATTGTCACCCATCAGTCTGCCTCTCCTGTGGCTGTTTTAGAGAACATAAAGTCGAGGTACTCTGTCAGGATCTCGACATTATTTACAGCTTGCTGCAACGTGGCTTATTGTCATTTATTACTTCTTATTTATGTAGCATCTTTCCACTGAAGAACCCATAGCTGCTTAATAAACAGAGCATGCACACTCAGGTGCACGCTCACGCATAACTCATACACTCAAGTGGACGGACACACACATGCACCCTTACACATCACCTGATGCCATGATATAGTTAGTAGTCCAGCACCAGAAATCTGTACAAAGCTTTCACACTCGTCTTTGTTTGTTCTAAAACTGTGCTTTGAAGAAAAGTATGCCATATTTCCTTCCACTTCAAGTGTTTGTTTATTGTTTGCCTCCAGGTGGACCGAATCATCTTCTGTGTCTTCCTAGAAGTTGACTTCAAAATCTACAAAAAGAAAATGAGCGAGTTCTTCCCTGTTGGTGAGTAAAGCCATTTGTTCCCTTTGGGATCAAGGGTGGAAGAAGTGGGGCTTCCTCTCCCTCCTTAAAACTCTTCTAACTGCAGTTCCTGTGTTTATGGTCTGCCTACAAGCTCGTACCATAGTTTCCAAGAACAACAAGAGGGGACCAGCCCTGAAACTTCCCCACTCATGACGTCATTGGATTGTCTGAGGCAAGTCAGGATATCTCTTGGGGCTCAAGTCCTCACAGCAACTGAGGGTTGGACCAAATGATCCCTAAAGGGCATTCTTCCAGTCCCAAATTGCACAATCCAGTCCTCCCTCAACAACCACGTCAAACTCCTTTGTTGAAAATTGTAGGAAACCCATTTGTATTTGTAGTCAGAATTCTGACTTTCCTGTATTTCATCCTCATTTTACCCAATTTTCTCTCCTTGAACTGCAATGACTGTATGGTCTTTTCTAGGGCAATCTGAGAATGGCTGTCACTCACCTTACTTCACACTTCTTTTTAGAATGTAGAAGAGGCCTAGGGGTTACTAAAGAGCCCTGAGTAATGGATTTAGGATTGAATGTGCCATTAGTTGGACTGGGGTAATTTGAATATTTTCCCGTCCTCCCTCTTACAGCCTATTAAGGCTGAGGCTTGTTTAATGCCTTGTTATTTTTATGGTCCTGGTGCCCAGAGTGCTTTCCTCCTTAGCCATGCTAAGAATTGCTTGTGGGAAATGCCAAGTTGCTCTGAGCATTGCTAGTAGCTGCCTTTTTTTTTTTTTTTTTTTTTTTTTTTGCTTTTGTTTTTCGAGATAGGGTTTCTCTGTAGCTTTGGAGCCTATCCTGTAGACCAGGCTGGCTTTGAACTCAACAGGGATCCACCTGTCTCTGCCTCCCTAGGGATCCACCTGTCTCTGCCTCCCGTTCGGGGGATTAAAGGTGTGTGCCATCACCACCTGGCCTGATAGCTTGCTTTTTTTTTTTTCCCTTCTTTTCTTTGTTGGTTTCCAGATCCATTTGAAGTGGTTTTTTCAGGCAATGAGTAGTGAATCTGGTGGGTGGGAAGGAGCGAATAAAGGGTGTTGGTGCACATTCCTCTCAAGCAATATTTTACAGCCAAGTAAGAAAGAGCAGGCCCCACCCACAGTTCCAAGAGGACTTAGGTAGCTAGATCAAGCAGTGCTTAAAAAAAAAAAAAAGGAAAAAGATAGTGTCAACTCTCTACTGATGCTTTCTCTAGGGGGACTGAGTTCCTTAATCCTTACCCTAATGTTACAATTAAGTGACAGACCTGATAAAAAGTTCACCTAGGCCTGGGACAGACTTCCTTTATCAGTTTATGAGCTTTTAGACTCTTCAAGATGTTTAGAAATAATGATATCATAGTCATTTGAATCTTTTATCAGTCCGAAGATATTTACAAAAGTATAGAGCACAGATATCCCACTGCAAATTTTAAAAAATAAGACAGGCTAAAATTTTATGAGTCTAAAGTTTATTAGTAACTGTGCAAATGAGTTGTCGTTTGAAACATCGCTGCTTTAAATAAATCCAAAAACTCATCTCAGTGCTTGAACAAGTAAAATAATAATAAAATCATTCTCAGTTTTACATTAATGTTTCAAAGCACACTATACTTATGAAATTATTCCTACTGAATAATTACAATAGTAAGTACATTTCAAACTGAATGTCAAAATCTCCAACAATGCCAGTATATTTATACAATGTTGAGGTAACAGACATTTGTAAATCCTAAGTTTGAAATGTGAAATAAAGTCTATGTCTAATAGCATATATAACTTCTAATATAAATGGTATATATTATCTGTCCTTAGTTTGAATTTATGCTTAATTCATAACCATATCATCTTTGATTCAAATATAATTTTTCCTGACTTACCATATATATTTCCCCAGACTATCTCTAACTAGAGGTTTGTTTTTTTTTTCCAACACAAAGATAATAATAGTTCACAAAAGTCATTTTTTTAAATATGAAAACGAACTACTTTGTTTGGGGATACTTTGAGCTCCAGCTTATAAAGTCCACAACCCAAAATCTGAGACAAAAGGCAGAAGAATCAATGCAAGTTAAAGTAGAAAACTCCACACTGAACACAAGCTACATTTGTCAACTCCGTTGTTACCAGATGCTTAGGTCCCAACCCTACTGTCCATTTCCCTGCATTCCAATTAAATTAGAAAACAGAAATTGCCAAAGAAAATGAATTTGTTCACTTTGGCTGATATGGTGGGGGTAAAAAGTACAATTTTCCTTCTCTTTGTACCTGGGGCTGCCTTATACTTAACAGAAAGCATGAGCTAGAGGCTGAAACCTTGTCAGTTTAATTGTGAAGCAAGCTAGTCTGTCCTTTTCTGTAGGAAGGGGTCCTGCGCACCAGATTGCCTCTGTGCCCTCTCTTCTACACTAATGGAAAATATCCTTTACTTCTGTAAGGAAATCAATCAGAACAACAGAACAAGAATTTTGTAGGATGTGAGGACCCCACCTGTCCTGGGCCTGCCAGAGTTCTTTGTCCCTTGTTCCATTAGTTGGATCTCTAGAGAGCATCCTTTCTTTGTACCTTTTCTTTGGAAGTCACCTTTGCGTTGTATGTCTGTAAGCATACTCATTTTGCAAGTTAAATAAATAAATAATAAATGTGACAGTCTGGTAGTCAACGGGGGAGGATGTACGTGGCTCTCAACCTCTGCTGGGTCAAGACCCTTTGGGGGTTGAACAACCCTTTCACAGTGGTTATTCATCAGACAGATATTCTGCATATCAGATATTTACACTACGATTCATAACAGTAGCAAAATTACAGTTATGAAGTAGTGACGAAATAATGTTATGGTTATGGCTCTCCTCAACATGAAGAACTGTACTAAAGGGTCATAGCATTAGGAAGATTGAGAACCACTGGCTTAGACTATCTTTTCCCTAGTAAGGATCAGGGCTTTAGCATAGGATCAAAGTTAGGGTATTTGCTTTAGGAATAACTTAGGAATTGTTTTGTTGTTGTTGTTTTGTTTTTTATCAACCAGACACCATTGCTGCTTTTTTTTCTTTATTTTATTTTTTTAAATTTCTTCTTCTCTTATAAAATACATCCCGACCATAACCTCTCTCCCCTCTCCCCATTCCTTCTCTCCCCCGATCTACTTAAACCCCTCTGGCTCCTACAATCCTTCCTCCCTCTCTTCCAAGGGGTTCCCCCAGCTCCACCTAATGTTTGGCTGTGGGTCTCTGAATCTACTCCCAACAGCTGCCAGAGGAACCATCTCTGATGATAATTTTGCTAGGCAGCAACCTATGAGTATAGCAGAATATCATTAGGAATCATTTCATTGACTTTTTTTTTCTCTTTTTTTGGCCAGTCATGTTAGTCAGTTACTTCTCATGATATTTCTGAAAACATATATACCATATTAATCTTGTATTGTGGTTTCTATTGCTATGGGTTCACTCTAAGGTATTCTAGAGATTTAACTTTCTTGAATTTTATATAATTTTTGCTGTGTATATACATGCACACACATTCACACAAGCCCACACATGGACATGCATGCACTCATGTGCATGCACACACACACACACACACACACACACACACACACACACACACACACACACACTTGTACACAGAGGTCAGAGAACAACTTGCAGGAGTCAGTTCTCTCTATCTACCATGAGGGTTCAAGCAGGGATAGAACTCAGGTCATCAGACTTGGCAGCAAGTGCTTTTACTCACTGAGTTGTCTCACCTTCCCAATCTGTCTTGAGAGGGGCCCTAAGCCAAGATAGTGTGTGTGTGTGTGTGTGTGTGTGTGTGTGTGTGTGTGTGTGTGTTGTGAAATACAACAAGGAAGTGAAACTAAAACATAAGAAACCATAGGAATGACTTACACTCAGGTCCAGAGGGGTTATGGGTACAGTGAAAGCTGCCTGGGCAGTACAGAACTCAGCAGCAATGCGTGGTGTCTTAGATTTACTATTGCTGTGATGAAATGCCTTAACCAAAAGCAGCTTGGAGAGCAAAGGGCTTATTTGGCTTATACACCCTGAATCATTGTCAACTGAGGGAAGCCAAAGCAAGAACTGAAACTGCACAGGAACCTGAAGGCAAGAGCTGAAGCAGACCATGGAGGGGGGCTGCATACTGGCTTGCTCGTCATGGTTAGCTCAGCCTGCTTTCTTGCAGAATCCAGGACCACTAGCCAAGGGTTAGCCCCACCTGCAATGGTCTGTCTGGAACCTCCCCCACTGATCACTAATTAAGAAAATACTATACAGGCTTTGCTTGCTTACATTGTGTTCTTCTAGAGGCATTTTCTCAAATAAAGTCCCCTCCTCTCAGATGACTCTAACATGTTAAGTTGGCATAAGACTAGCCAACACAGATGGGGCAGGAGAGGAAGAGAGATGGTAGGACTAGACCTTCCTTGGGGTTCCTTAGGCTTTCTCACGGCGGGTGGTGGGTTTGCTCATTTGAAGAAAGCATTCATGAAGGGTGAAGCTCTTTATGAGACTTGGATGTGGACCATTAGGTTTGAACAGCACCAGCAGCTGTGTGGTGTGTTTGGTTTTGGGTCAGTGGGATAAGGAACAGTGAGGCAAATATCAAACACCCACATTGGAAGTATGGGTTTTAAGTAAGTCAAAGGTGATGGATCCAGTGAGATTTCAGACAGCTCATGGCAAGCCTGAAAATGAATGGCAAGTGGATCACTGTATTTTATAATCTGACACCCCTCAGATATAGAAAATGAGCCATATTTGAATGAATTGTGACATGCAACTGGGAGGTGACAATATATTTCAGACTGAGACCAGCATCTGTCATTGCCCAAGTAGCAATGGGCTAGTCTTCTCTACAGCATCATTAGAGAAGTCTTTGATCTCTTGGCAGGATGAGGTCAGAACACCAAGAATGCCCCATCCTTAAATTGTTTGTCGTAAATTGTTTCTTGAAGCCTCCATACTTCTCTTTCTTCCAATACATATAAAACTCACTCATG